ACATGACATAACTAAGCACATTGAAGTAAACATGCACATCATCAAAGGGAAGTTGGATAGTGTGCTGATTTGTACTTTGTACATACCAACCACTTCACAACTTACCGATATTTTGACTAAAGAATTAAGTAATCATGTATTTCAGACGATCATTGTCAAACTGGGTATAGATGACATCTATTCACTAGCTTAAAGAGGAGTGTTAAGAATACAAATTAGAGTTTCATTAGGATAAAGAGTATAATAATAATATCCCCCGAATATTTGTAACCTTTGTAATTAATAACGTTTTCTTTTGTTGTTATTATTCATTTGTATATATAAGATCCCCATATTCAATGAGATTATACAATTCATTCTTCTACATTTATTAATATTATTACTGTTGTTGTTATTACTGTTGTTGTTATTATTGTTGTTGTTCTTTTTATTGTTATTCTTATTGTTGTTGTTGTCGTCATTACTGTTGTTGTTGTTATATGCATAATTTTATATGTATATTAAGATTTAATGAACGTAAATGATAAGAAAGAGATTTATCTAAATTGGTACAATGAAATTTAAAAACCGGTAGGTACAACTCGAAGTTGCAATCAAAATGCTAACTAGTATGGTATTTACTATTTTGTGATAGCTACTTCATCTGGCTTCCATTTTATCAAACATAACCATCAAAAAAGTGTAGACAATTTTGGTTTGCTCAAAGCATCTAAACACAGTTCTCTTGCAATCTGGAAATCCTGGATGGAGACGTAACCAAATATAGGAAAATTGCAGTAGGTATGCTAGAGCAAGATTCAAACATTTTGTCTTCCCTTTGTTCTAAAAAGCCTACATGGAAGGGAGAAAGAAAGAACTCACAGCTGTGGGAAATACTGACAAAAGTTGCTCATATATTGGTGCTGCCTGTGCAATAGGTAAATGCTACAGAACAAAAAACATTACAAGTTAACCAGCAAACTTATTTTTCTTCTTCTTGAAACAGAAAGAATAATAACAAAGCAAAATTGAGAAGTGCAGATACAAGGGCACTGTTGACAATGATTTCTGCGGCCTCCACACTGTATTTATCAGCCATGAATTCCACAGAAACAGAACTTCAGGCCGTAGGAATCCAGTTAACAGTTGGGAAGAAAGATGTTCACTCTTCCACCTTCATCAAACAGATTCCTGCACTAAGCATGTGTAACCAAGAAGAAATATTCATCAACCATGAACAAAGCCAAAGCATGATATAAAAAATAATAATAAATTAGAGTTCAAACATGATCCTAAAACCAAAAAACCAGAATCTGCTTACTACCCATGCCCATATATTATCCATTAGGAATCAAAAATCACAGTTACAGAAGAACAAAAAAAACTTAAAATACAGAATCTGCATCCTTAACATTTATACTGAAAATCATAAACAATCATATACGGAAAGCAAAAAAAAAAAAAAATCAAAAATCACAGTTACAGAAGAACAAAAAAAACTTAAAATTCAGAATCTGCATCCTTAACATTTATACTGAAAATCATAAACAATCATATACGGAAAGAAAAAAAAAAAAAAAAAAAACATATACAAACAATTATTTTTTTTAGATAAAAAAAATATGTATATTACGTATATGACACCAAGGGGGTATTGTCCCTATACAAAAAAATTTACAAATCAGTTAGTGCATCAATAACCCTCCCAAAATCATCCCACCCATGCACATCATGACCCAGAATAACAGTCCCAAAAGTGTGAAGCAATTTATCTCTAATTATACCAATATGCCTCACACACCCATTGAAACTCTATTGTTCCTCTCTTTCCATACAACTCAATTCATCTTTCACCGAACCCCCAATCACCCAATTTATACCCAATAAACTATACACCATAGACCATAAACTATAAGTCACCGGACACCAAAGAAGAAGATGGTTGCAGGATTCCGCAGCATTCATACAAAAATAGCACCCGTTAGCCATAACTGAACCAAATAAATTGAGAACATGTTCAGGGTTCATAAATTAAACAGTAGCATATGCATATCGAGGTACATGCTAACAATAAAAATCAAAGACCTGGATTTAGAGAGACTTCAACAACTTCATGAACTACTAAGACCAAGAAACCACGAGATAGATAAATAACTCATGAAAGTAGTACGAGGCATGAAAACCGAAATTAACAAAAAAAAAATCCACTGAAAACGAAAGAGCAGAAGTGAAATCACCTGAAGAATTGTGTGCTAGTGGCTGAGGCGTGAGAGTAAAGAGAGTGCGAGCTTTGATAGGCTGCGGAGTGAGTTATTATGGAAGGACAGTCTACCTATGCTACATTGTAGAGAGACATTCGACTCCACTTGTCCGCTGAACCAGTTCCAATGAAGTGAAAGAAATCACTGTAAGCGGTATTGAGTAGCTGTTCCATGGAGACAAACCCCTCCGGCAGAAACGTTCCGTATAGACTGAAGTCGCTGTGAATCCTTTCAATTATCAGGAGCGGGTCATGAAGTTCGTAAAAAATAATGCCTACGATCTCTCTGTTTGTTAGACAGAAAGGGGAAGAAAACAAACACAAACACAAGATCTTTTAGGTTTAACTCAGGAATGAGGAGGAGGCCAGCGAGGTGAGAGGGCAAGAGAGGCTGAAATGGTCGGTCGGTGATCTTGAGGGCATGACCAGACATGGCAAACCGGCCGGTTTGGGCCGGTCTACGCCGGCCTAGCCGGTCACCTTGATAATTAACATATGAATTTGATTTGTACAACTTGTTTACAAAATTTTAATGTAGTTAAGAGGATGCGAAAATTTTGGGATGACACTTCAAAATATAATTATATATGCAAAAAAAAGTCCAAATCACTCTTTACATTATTTTTCAACTCAAACATAATCTATATTTTTGAATTTTTTAAATCAATCTTTATCATTAATCACATATTTAATGTCCCTAAATAAACATTTATATGATAAAAAATATATACAACGTGTACATTAAATTTTAAAAATAGTATCAGTGTAATAATTACATAACTGGTTTTATTATTATTAGTATACTTTTTATTCATGATGTATTTTTAATTATCGCTAAACTGAATGAAAATGTTTAAATGAGGATTGAAAAGTATTATAACGTCGTTAGTGTTGAGGATGTCTTTCTAGTTTTATATCTTTTTATTAATTTTTTTATAATTTTATATAATTTATAAATATTTAGATACAAAAAAAAAAAGAAACGAAAGACAAAAAATAGTTACCAATATGGCAGTCACATATTTTAAATTTGATGTTTACGTTAACATTTATCTAATAGTTTTAGACACATTGTTAATAATAAGAAACTATTTAAAGAAATTAAAAGTTTAAGTTGCATTTAGACTAAGAAAAATAGTGTGTAGATATATTTGAACTTTTTTAGAAATAACAAAAAAATTTTAATGTATCATCCCCAAAAAATTTATTAAATCAACAAATTTAATCTTTTTAAAAAATTCAAGAGAATTTAAAATATATTAATTCAATTTCATTTGAAAGATTTTATAAAATTATTTTTATTATTTTTAGTATTATTCTAAATACATATTATTAAAAATAGTATTAGTATAGTAATGTCATGTGTTTCACTAATTGAAGAAATAATTTTCTTTTCAATTATTTGAAAAAAAACACAAAATTTAATAAAAAGTAATACACCACCAAAAAAATAATAATACACTGCCAAAAAGATAGTCAATAGCAATTAAAAAAAATTAAGTAAAGCTTTTACTTCCTAGTTGTAAAGGTTTAGAACCTTAAAAAAATGAATTTATAATTTAAATGTAGAAACGATAATAGAGTCAGGGTTTACATTCCTTACACAATAATTTAAAATGTCCAGTAGGGTAATATAAGTGTCCATTCTAAAAGATAAACGGTAATTAAAGAAAAAAATGGATAAATAAGCATTATATGGCAACCTTTACTAGTACTTAAAGGAAATTCGGATAGTGAACTACTCACAACCCTATTGTTGATCGGAATTTGGATATTAATCTTCTTAATCTGAAATAGTTAATGAAAGGGTGAACTACACTAATCTAGTAAGAATATCACACTAATCACATATACGAAAAATTGAATATTTGTAAAAATTAGAAAAATAATTAATGAAACACTTACTTTAATTAAATACATTTAACTTAAATACGTTTGTTTGATATTTACTGTTACGAATTTTTCAAAAAACAACCTATGAAGATCCATATTCATACCACTTTTACTTCACACATAAGAGAACAAGAGATGATA